TAATGCAGATTGCTACAAATTCAGTCTACAAGGTCATCCAGTGGATTGTGAGGGTACTAAATCTCGGTCTACATTTTTATCAATTTTTATAGTAGTAAGATTACACACCATGGCTTTGACAACTGTCATAACTTAATTCAAATAGTAATTGTCGCTTACATTTATTTTGTTTTACAATCATGTCTTTTACTAACGTAGAAGCGTATGATATGTTACGTATTTATTTTCAATGTTTGGAAAATGCTGTAATTGCATCACGCGAATATGCAATGCAGTTTCCACAAAGAAGACAAGTTTCTCGAGACGTGTTTTCAAGATTAGCTAGGCGATTACGGGAAAATGGTAATGTGCACCTATTCAGACACCTATAAGAACTCGCAAAACATGCATCGAGGAAAATATTATTAATCTTTTGGCCTACGTACAATTCGACCCCACATTGAGCACAAGAAATATTTCCGACGACCTGGAAATCCCGAAAACAACTCTGCATAAGATTCTTCAAGAGAATAATACGCATCCCTACCATATTATTTTACATCAGGCCTTAAGAGAAGCCGATTATGATAACAGACTTAATTATTGTCATTGGCTGTTAAGTATGATTCGTGAAAATGAAAATTTTTTATCAGAAATACTATGGACGGATGAAGCATCTTTCAATAGCGCAGGTGGTGTAAATTTGCATAACTATAATTTGCATAAATATTGTTCGGAGCAAAATCCACATTGGACGCGGCAGATAGAGCATGAAAATCGCTGGAGTTTGAATGTATGGTGCGGAATCGTGGAAGGAAAACTTATAGGCCCACATTTTTTTGACGCAACACTTAACGGAGAACGATGTTCCTTTCTTAATTCTTAACAAGTTTTATTTGAAAAATATTTTGATATCAACAATAATTAGGAAGATAATCTTGAATTCAATTTCTATACTGTTCACAGGGAAATTAAAAAATTGATAATTTTAAAAAATAGTGCCAACAAAAGTTGTTCTTTTTCTAATTCTTAACAAGTTTTATTTGAAAAATATTTTGATACAAACAATAAATAGGAACATAATCTTGAATTCCGTTTCTAACAGGGAAATTATAAAATTGATAATTTTAAAAAATAGTGCCAACAAAATTTGTTCCTTGTTTAATTCTTAACAAGTCTTATTTGAAAAATATTTTGATACAAACAATAATTAGGAAGATAATTTTAAATTCCATTTCTGTACTGTTCACAGGTAAAAATATTTTGATACAAACAATAATTATTACTATTTTTTTTTTATATATAAAATAATCTTAAATTGCAAATGTTGTGATAAAAGTAATTATACTCTCGAATGCAGAATAAAATAAGCTTTCGAATCATTTATTATATTTTATCTACGACTGCTTGGATAAGTCATCATTACCGCACTCATTTGAGGTGATTTGAGTTACGTAATGAAGTTCATTACCGCACTGGTTTCATTACGTAACGCATTTTTAGCCTAATCAGAACAGAGTTAATTTATTGAAACGAGCAACAATACAAAAGAAAAAGTGCTATCTACTTACAGAGAAACAATACTATTTATTATAAACATTAATTGTTATGTTTTTACATTTCAAAACACTTATTCCAGATGAGTAAACATGTTGTTGAAACTGACAATTTAAAATTGTCAACAATCATTTCAAAATATTTTTATAAATGTCAAATAGACTTTTTTTAAAGAAATTGATTTTTTAGTAATTTTTAGCAGTCGTAGATAAAATGCTGTATATCACACGTGGGCTAGAGCATAATTACAGTACTCGTGTGATTACAGGTTATATATACAAGTTTTGAACGAGTTAAGAAAAAAGTTTGAAAATTTGGGGATCAATAAAGAGTCATAAAAACTACATTCTTAGATAGTTTAGAACTTCCATGCAATGTGGAGTTTTTTTAGGTGATGACCACCCTTACATTTTTAAATAGCAACCCCTGTCGAGTTTTACCTTATTTTAAAGGTAATTAAAAGAGAAACACAACCCCATAAGCCAAAACCCGATATCTTAATTCTTTCAAGAATTATGACGGGTTGACTACCAAATTGGAAAATAAAATGTTTTTTTGCACGTTTATTACGTTTATTATAACAAATGTTCAAATTGTCGACCTTCTTCGGTCTCGCAATGACCCAAACGCTCATAAATGGAATTTTGAACCATCAGGAGTATATCCCTAGTGATAGTGGTGGTTCCCTAGTGATTGGAGTGACAAAAATCCATGTTTAATAAGAGGAGATCATACTCAGAGATTACAGAAAATTAATGTATGGGCTCGTATTATGGGAGAGAATGTAATTGGTCCATTTTTTATTAATGAAAATTTGGACGGAGACAGATATCTGCAACTGTTAGAAAATCAAGTGGTTCCAAGTGTATGTGCCGTATGCTCTAATGGTATTGACAATAAGTGGTTCCAACAAGATGGTACTCCTCCACATTTTAGTCGGGTAGTCCGAGACTTTTTAAGCGGCACGTTTCCAAACCGTTCCTTCTGATCTACTAACATCACTCGATTTATTCTGTTGGGGGTTTTTGAAAAGTAGAGTTTATGCAACAAAACCAGAATAAATAAATGATTTGGAAAATCTCATATTTGAAGAAACCACCAATATCACTACGGATATGTTCCTGATGGTTTATGAGCGTTTGGGTCATTGTAAGACCGAAGAAGGTCGACAATTTGAACATTTGTTATAAAAATCGTAATAAACGTGCAAAAAAACATGAAAACACCTTTTTTCTCATTTTAATAATAATATATTTTTTATTGTCGTAATAAACCATTACTACAAAACGTCATTGAATACATATGAAACAAAATGAAATATCAATAATACAAATATACATTTCATGACAATTACACACTACACATTACGCATTAAAATTGTGAGACTGAACTGTCGTGAGATAGTCCTCGCACGAATAGAAAACGTTCTCCATCAAATATTCTTTTATTTTCCTTTTAAACCGTTGCCTAGACAGCGCAGTCAGCTGCGGTGGTAGTTCGTTGTAGAGTTTTGGACCCCAGTAACCCACATACTTTTGCGTTGATGCAATTCTGTGGTACGGTACCTGGTATTGGTGTCGTGATCTTGTCAGATAGCTATGGGTACCACCATTGGAGGGAAAACTGTCTCTGTTATCATGAACATGCAGCAAAGCCGTAAGTATATATATGCTTGGTAAGGTAAGTATATTCTCATATTTAAAGTAGTTCTTATAACTTTCGTCTGTTCGCAGCCCACACAGCACTGCCCCAGAAAAGAACACCATACGACGCCACCGAGTGAAATGATGCAAAGTATGACAACCTGACTGCCTGGTGGCTACTTGTTTTAGTCTTCGTATTGTAAAGATAGCAGAAGTCAGCCTAGTCCTCAGATGCTTCAAGTGCACTTCCCACATCATTCCGCTGTCTAGATGCATACCCAGAAATTTTACTGTTGTAGATTCCCTCCCACGTCGAGTGGTCTCCAACACTATATGTTCTGTTTTTTCACTGTTCAGTTTGAGCAGATTATTGCTGAACCATTCTTGAGTGGACAATATTGCTTCTTGTGATTTAGCCATCAAGTTATCCTTTGTAGTGTCTTTTAATACGATGGATGTATCGTCAGCATATAAATATGTCTCTTCAATAATGTTGCAAGGCAGATCATTAATATATATAATAAACAGGAGAGGTCCTGAGGAATACCATGTTTGATTTTTACACTAGACGATCTATTACCATTATACTCAACATATTGCTGTCCGTCCATCAAACAAGATCTTATTAAATTTAGTTGTAGACCTCTAATACCATAAAACTGAAGTTTACTCAGGAAAATGGAGTGGCTGATGGTATCGAATGCCTTGCTGAGGTCCAGCAGGTCGATCTGAACCACATTTTGCTCATCGTGTGCTTTCGTTATAAAGGCAATTACTTCACTGACTGGTCGCAAAATATTTATTGGTCTTAAAGTATTCCACCAACCTTCTTGCTATTAATCTTTCAAATATCTTGGAGATAACGGGCAAAATTGATATAGGTCTATAATTGTTTTAGTCCTTTTTATCACCCTTCTTATATAATGGCAGGACACTCGCTGGCTTGAACTCTGAAGGAAAAATTCCATCGCTGACACATTTATTGAGATAATATTAAGATTGACCGCACACTGTTCTATTACTGACTTTATTATATTGTTTGTTAAGCCATATGTGTCAGCTGTGTCGCTGTTCTTAATTTGACCAACTGTTGTTATTATTTCTGTTGTTGTTATTGGTCTGAAGAAAAAAGAATTTACATTTGTCACATTTAAGTTTTTGAGGTCACGATCCTCTCAACCACTTCTACAAAGTGTTTGTTGATGTCCTCAACGTCGTGAGGTACAGGACTACTATTTGAGCCACTCTTGGTATACTGATTTATTACCTTCCATATTGCACGTTGTTTGTTGCCAGCATTGTTTATAAAAGTTTCATTTTGTTGTCTATTATAATCATGTATTGCCACATGATACTGTTTCTTATATTTTATGTACAGCTGATAACATTCCTGGGATTTGGAAACTCTCATAACTGTAAATAAAGCCTCCAAACTTCTTTCCATGAAACATCGATTAAACAGTCCCAAAAAGTTTTCATGAAAAACTCTACTACAGTCCCGAGCAGAGTTGATTGCATAAAGATTTAACGGGGTATCCGTAAGTAACTCCCTTCCCAATCGATTTGCATTCTCGTTACTATATATTCGTGTTTTCTTAATGTGTCTCTTTTCAAGCACCCCTTTTCTCGGTTCTCTGAGAATGACCACCTGACCAAGATGATCCCATAAATGGAAATTCTTGGTAACCGTTTCAATTTGAAGATTGGTGACATTTGTAAACACATTGTTAATACAGGTAGCACAGGATGCACTATTTTTTTACCTATATTTGGTAGTTAACCCCTCATAATTCTTGACAGAATTAAGATATAGGGTTTTGGTTTATGGGGTTGTGTTTCTTTTTCCCTTACCTTTAAAATAAGGTAAAACTCGATAGGGGTTGCTATTTAATAATGTAGGGGTGGTCATCCCCTAAAAAACTCCACTTTGCACGGAAGTTCTAAACTATCTAAGAATGTAGTTTTTATGACTCTTCAAATTTTCAAATATTTTTCTTTACTCGTTTAAAAGTTATAGCTCCGTCCCGGGAGTTTTGGGAAACCCTGTATATTATTTGGCATTGAGAACATATTAAGTGCATGTTAGTTATAATGCAAGATAGAAATAAAATTATAAAACATTTCTTTTTACCTGACAAGCATCAACACCTCCTTCTAAATAACCAGCACAAAAAGCATTTACAAAATTCTCAACTTCAGGATCAGCTTTATGCAACATCTTTTTGCAATCTTTATCAGAATAAATTCGAATCCTTGCCTCCCTCATAACACAAGAGACTTTGATATCATGAAACTTTAAAACACCATATCCAGCTATGATGGCTTCTTTCGGTCTACTTTTACTTCCATAAGCTTAACATATATATAAATTTAAGTAATTAATTTATTAATGAATTAATTTTATTGTTACGTTTGCTAGGAAGACAAGCTGGTTCGAATTTAACATTTTCCTTCAAAACGATTAAGGCTATATCAAAATAGGGATCTTCTTTCGCGTATCTTTCGTGGATGTAAACTTTTCGGGCCCGATATGTTTTTAATTCGTGTTCGTGGGTGTTACAAATATTGTATGTTCCCATTTTTAAATCGTATTCATTTTCAATTCCTTTCCTTAAAATTCAAAGTGGTTTCAAGAAAAACTTAACTCAAATAAATTTCTATGAATTGATAAAACATAAAAAAGTAAATAACTTACGAGTTTTGTACATATTGCTGATAACAATGTGCAGCAGTAACAATACTTTTTTTTGTAACTAAGGTAGCTCCACAATAAGGCATGCCATATTTATACAACGCAACAAACCATGGATATTTATAATACCCAACATCGTAACCACCAACTATTTTTCCTGAAACCATTCCAATGGGATGGCCGCATTGGTTATTATCTTTTTGATTTTTTATAAATTTCCCGTTGCGATGATGAACCATTTCGGTTTGATTCGGAAAAATAATTATGGTTACGATTAAAATGTTGAAAAATGAGTCAAAGGAAAATTGTTTAGACATGACCAACACGTTTATAACTTTCGAGTTTTACTGAAAAGTAAAACTTAAGCGAAGTTATTCCAGTTGGTCGTGACACGTGGCATTGGAATAATCATTATTTTATTTTTTCATGTTATTTTTTAGAATAAAGTGCGGTCGTAGAAATTTCTTAAATAACTAAAGCACCAAGCCTTCAACGTCAATTTCTTATATTTTCGTAAACATTGTATTATTTAAAATTGTTTAATATGTGCGTTGTTATCAGTCGTCTAAAATTTTTCGTCATTAGTCATGAAGGGACATGGATAATTTTCGAAAAATTTTGTATTCATTAGAATTGGAATTAATTTTTTATATTTCTTAGAAAACCGTATTCAAGAAAATATTGTTCATCATAGATTCCAACTAATAAAAATTCAAAACTAACTATTTTTAACATAGCCCAAAAAATGTTCAATCACCTTGACTTTATTTCAAGGAGTTATGAAATGATTTCTACATGAAATTGAAGCTGAAACCTTCCTCTTCAAGACCGCGTATAAACTTAATTACTTTTGGTTATAAAAATCTTAAGATAAAAGTTAAAAAGTGAAGAAACAATTTTTAACTTAACCTAAAACGAATAAAAATTCAATATTTTCAAAAAATCGTATTGTTCTTATTTTTAGGAGTTATGAAACAATTTATACTTCAAATTGAAGCTGAAACCTTCCTATTCAAAACCATATATAAACTTTAATACTTTCCATTATAGAAATCTCGAGATAAAAGCTAAAATGTAAAGTTACAATTTTCAACTAAACCTAAAAGGAATAAAAATTCAGGATTTTCAGAAAATCGTCTTGATCTTATTTTTAGAAATTATGAAACGATTTATACTTCAAATTGAAGCTGATGCTTTCCTCTTCAAGACCGTGTATAAACTTAAATATTTTTAATAATGAAAATCTTGAGATAAAAATTAAAATGTTAAGTAACAATTTTTGACTTAACCTAAAACGAATAAAAATTCAATATTTTCAAAAAATCGTATTGTCCTTATTTTTAGGAATTATGAAACGATTTATACTTCAAATTGAAGCTGATGCTTTCCTCTTCAAGACCGTATATAAACTTAAATATTTTTAATTATGAAAATCTTGAGATAAAAATTAAAATGTAAAGTAACAGTTTTTGACTTAACCTAAAACGAATAAAAATTTAATATTTTCANTATTTTTAGGAATTATAATTAGGTGAATAAAAAACTTTGTTTTTGAGATGGATAAATTTTGTTTTCGGCTCAACCGCTTTCAACTGTTTTTAGTCATCTTCAGGAGCTTTAGCCACGTCAATTTTACTTTTAATTTTCATAATCTGGATTCATCTTATTTATAATCGTTTTCTTAAATTCTCTGTTGTTAATTATTGTCAAAAATGTTTCTAATTTTGTGTTGTACCTTCTTTTTATGTTATTCACAACAGCGGTTATTTTATTTTTGAAATAAAAATAAAATTTTTAAATAATAAATAATAATAATAAATAGCTTTTAAACAATTTTTTTAAATTATTTAAATTATTCTAACAAGATAGGAAGTAATAATATTAATGATTTTTGGTTATAACAATCTTGAGATAAAAGTTAAAATGTGAAGTAAAAATTTAACTCCACCTAAAACATAGAAATTTAAGATTTTCAAAAAATCGTATTGTCCTTATTTTTAGGAGTTATGAAACGATTTATACTTTATATTGAAGCTAAAACCTTCCTCTTCACGACCGTATATAAACGTAACTGTTTTTGATTATAAAAATCTTGAGATAAAAGTTAAAAAGTCAAGAAACAATTTTTAACTTAACCTAAACCGAATAAACATTCAAGATTTTCAAAAAATCGTATTGTCCTTATTTTTAGGAATTATGAAACGATTTATACTTCAAATTGAAGCTGATGCCTTCCTCTTCAAGACCGTATATAAACTTAAATGTTTTTAATTATGAAAATCTTGAGATAAAAATTAAAATGTAAAGTAACAATTTTTGACTTAACCTAAAACGAATAAAAATTCAATATTTTCAAAAAATCGTATTGTCCTTATTTTTAGGAGTTATGAAACAATTTATACTTCAAATTGAAGCTGAAACCTTCCTCTTCAAGACCATATATAAACTTTAATACTTTTCATTATAGAAATCTTGAGATAAAAGTTAAAAAGTGAAGTAACAATTTTTAACTTAACCTAAAACGAATAAAAATTCAATATTTTCAAAAAATCGTATTGTCCTTATTTTTCGGAGTTATGAAACAATTTATACTTCAAATTGAAGCTGAAACCTTCCTCTTCAAGACCATATATAAACTTTAATACTTTTCATTATAGAAATCTTGAGATAAAAGTTAAAAAGTGAAGTCACAGTTTTCAACTAAACCTAAAAGGAATAAAAATTCAGGATTTTCAGAAAATCGTCTTGATCTTATTTTTAGAAATTATGAAACGATTTATACTTCAAATTGAAGCTGAAATCTTCCTCTTCAAGATCGTGTATAAACTTAATTACTTTTGGTTATAAAAATCTTGAGATAAAAATTAAAAAGTGAAGTAACAATTTTCAACTTAACCTAAAATGAATAAGAATTAAGGATTTTCAAAAAAACGTCTTGACGTTATTTTTAAGAGTTATGAAACGATTTATACTTCAAATTGAAGCTGAAATCTTCCTCTTCAAGATCGTGTATAAACCTAATTACTTTTGGTTATAAAAATCTTGAGATAAAAATTAAAAAGTGAAGTAACAATTTTTAACTTAACCTAAAACTAGTAAAAAATTCAAGATTTTTAAAAAATCGTGTTGTCCTTATTTTTAAGAGTTATGAAACGATTTATACATTAAATGGAAGCTGAAACCCTTCTCTTCAAGACGGCATATAAAGTTAAATACTTTTAATTATAAATTTCTAGAGATAAAAATTAAAAAGTGAAGTAAGAATTTTTTATTTAACCTAAAATGAATAAGATTTCAAAAAATCGTATCTTCTTTATTTTTAAGAATTATGAAACGATTTATACTTCAAATTGAAGCTGAAACCTTCCTTTTCACGACCGTATATAAACTTAAATTTTTTTGATCATAAATATATTGATATAAAAATTATAAAGTGAAGTAACAATTTTTAACTTAACCTAAAATGAATAAAAATTCAAGATTTTCAAAAAATCGTATCTTCTTTATTTTTAGGGGTTATAAAACGATTTATACTTTAAACTGAAGCTGAAACCTTCCTCTTTAAGACGGTACATAACTTAATTGTTTTTGGTTATAAACATCTTGAGTTGAAAGTTAAAAAGTGAAGAAACAATTTTTAACTTAATCTAAAACGTATAAAAATTCAAGATTTTTAAAAAATCGTCTTCTCCTTATTTTTAGGAATTATAATTAGGTGAATAAAAAACTTTGTTTTTGAGATGGATAAATTTTGTTTTCGGCTCAACCGCTTTCAACTGTTTTTAGTCATCTTCAGGAGCTTTAGCCACGTCAATTTTACTTTTAATTTTCATAATCTGGATTCATCTTATTTATAATCGTTTTCTTAAATTCTCTGTTGTTAATTATTGTCAAAAATGTTTCTAATTTTGTGTTGTACCTTCTTTTTATGTTATTCACAACGGCGGTTATCTTATTTTTGAAATAAAAATAAAATTTTTAAATAACAAATAATAATAATAATAAATAGTTTTTAAATAATTTTTTTAAATTATTTAAATTATTCTAACAAGATGGGAAGTAATAATATTAATGATTTTTGATTATAACAATCTTGAGATAAAAGTTAAAATGTGAAGTAATAAATTTTAACTCCACCTAAAACATAGAAATTTAAGATTTTCAAAACATCACATTGTCCTTATTTTTAGGAGTTATGAAACGATTTATACTTTATATTGAAGCTAAAACCTTCCTCTTCACGACCGTATATAAACGTAACTGTTTTTGATTATAAAAATCTTGAGATAAAAGTTAAAAAGTCAAGAAACAATTTTTAACTTAACCTAAACCGAATAAACATTCAAGATTTTCAAAAAATCGTATTGTCCTTATTTTTAGGAATTATGAAACGATTTATACTTCAAATTGAAGCTGATGCCTTCCTCTTCAAGACCGTATATAAACTTAAATGTTTTTAATTATGAAAATCTTGAGATAAAAATTAAAATGTAAAGTAACAATTTTTGACTTAACCTAAAACGAATAAAAATTCATTATTTTCAAAAAATCGTATTGTCCTTATTTTTAGGAGTTATGAAACAATTTATACTTCAAATTGAAGCTGAAACCTTCTTCTTCAAGACCATATATAAACTTTAATACTTTTCATTATAGAAATCTTGAGACAAAAGTTAAAAAGTGAAGTCACAATTTTCAACAAAACCTAAAAGGAATAAAAATTTAGGATTTTCAGAAAATTTTCTTGATTTTATTTTTAGAAATTATGAAACGATTTATACTTCAAATTGAAGCTGAAACCTTCCTCTTCAAGACTGTATATAATCTTTAATACTGTTCATTATAGAAATCTTGAGATAAATGTTAAAAAGTGAAGTAACAATTTTTAACTTAACCTAAAACGAATAAAAATTCAATATTTTCAAAAAATCGTATTGTCCTTATTTTTAGGAATTATGAAACGATTAATACTTCAAATTGAAGCTGAAATCTTCCTCTTCAAGACCATATATAAACTTTAACACTTTTCATTATAGAAATCTTGAGATAAAAGTTAAAAAGTGAAGTCACAATTTTCAACTAAATCTAAAAGGAATAAAAATTTAGAATTTTCAGAAAATCGTCTTGACCTTATTTTTTGGAGTTATGAAACAATATATACTTCAAATTGAAGCTGAAACCTTCCTCTTCAAGGCCGTATATAAACTTTAATACTTTTCATTATAGAAATCTTGAGATAAAACTTAAAAAGTGAAGTCACAATTTTCAACTAAACCTAAAAGGAATAAAAATTCAAGATTTTCAGAAAATCGTTTTGATCTTATTTTTAGAAATTATGAAACGATTTATACTTCAAATTAAAGCTGAAATCTTCTTCTGACTTTAATACTTTTCATTATAGAAATCTTGAGATAAAAGTTAAAAAGTGAAGTAACAATTTTTAACTTAACCTAAAACGAATAAAAATTCAAGATCTTCAAAAAATCGTATTGTCCTTATTTTTAGGAATTATGAAAGAGTTATGAAACGATTTATACTTCAAATTGAAGCTGAAACCTTCCTCTTCAAGATCGTATATAAACTTAATTGTTTTTGGTTATAAAAATCTTGAGATAAAAATTAAAAAGTGAAGTAACAATTTTTAACTTAACCTAAACTGAATAAAAATTCAATATTTTCAAAAAATCGTATTGCCCCTCTTTTTAGGAGTTATGAAACGATTTATACTTCAAATTGAAGCTGAAACCTTCATCTTCAAGGCCGCATATAAACTTAATTATTTTTGCTTATAAAAATCTTGAGATAAAATTTAAAATGCAAAGTTAGAATAAGAAATTCGTTGTCAAGATTACTGAAAATCCCTCTGGAGGCTGAAATATCTCCTCGATTACTCTGTACCGAAGCTTTTTGGAAATCGAAATGTGATTTCTACATTTCATTATCCATAAATCGTTGTTAATGCAAATTAATCACAAATTTCCTTATTTTAAAATCTAATTAATTAATTTTTTGTCTTTTCCTTTTATCTTTTTTTAATCAAATAATTTTGAGTTCTATTTAAAGCTCAGCTTGTAAAGAGTAGAGTAGAATTGGCCCCCATAGTTCTCCCCCACACACGTGTGGATGAGAACGCAAGCGTAGGGAAGCCCAGAAAAGTATCCACTTTGGACATAGTACAGTTTGAAAAATACGGTCGAGTTAACGCTTTCAGTTCACCACCACCAACTCTTGTGTTACAAAAAGAACAGAAATAAACTTCATTAAAAAAAGTCCATAGTGAATTTTTGAAGTGAAAATTGATTTCTTGGTGTGATTTTATAAGATTAAAAAGTTTTGAAAAATGTATGGTATGCTTTTGGAGAGTGTCCAACATTTCTTGCAAGTAAGTTTTTTTGTTGCAACAAATTCTTATTGATTATAAAACTAAGTCTTTCAAATTGGAATTTGGGGAACGACAAAATCCTCAATTAATTACTATAAAGACTTCATAACCCCTCGAGATATTCTTGTTCGTGTCGAATAACGTTTCTTATTCCATTTTCATCCTATTTTCAATGGAATGTAATTACTTAAGATATCATCGATTCTATTCAACACAATTACTTACCTTCGTTTTACATTTAATTATAATTTCTAATCACGTATATAAAGAACAATTTTGATTCATTATAACAATATGTAATAACAATAATTCTTCACAACAATAATAAGTGTTGCCTTTAAAAGGGTTACCATCAATAAAATTTAATCAGTCATAAAGCCATTTAAAAACAAATTGTTTTTGCTCTTTTAAGTAACATTGTTTCAATAAATTTTAGTGTCAAGCTAAAAAAATTAATCTTTTAGGCTGAATATGGCGAAGATATGTGGAAAGAAGTTATCGAAATGGCCGGTTGTAAATTCACGGTTTTTAACACCCATCAAGTTTACCCAGATGAAATTATGTCATCGATAGCAAAAGCTTGCGAAAGTGTAACTTGTCAATCGTACGATAATTTTATGAATTTTTTTGGGCGATGTTTCGTTCGTTATTTTAGCCATTTTGGGTTGGTAAAATCTAAATTAAATGTAAAAGAATAATGAAATAATTTCTTTTAGTTACGATGAAACAATAAAAGCAACCGGAAGATATTTCACCGAATTCTTAGAAAGCGTCGATAACATTCACATTCGATTCAGATTATCTTACCCAAAAATGAAAAGTCCTTCAATGTGTGTTACCCACGTCGATGAAAAAGGTTGCGTTTTAATTTATAGGAGCTCTCGACAAGGATATATTCAATACCTCGTTGGTCAGCTTCAAGAAATCTCAAGAACCGTTTTTAATTTAGATTTAGAGGTCAAAATATTGGATGTGCAATTAAATGAGAAGGGGCATGGTGTTAATGTTAAATTCCGATTGAATTTTGACAATAAATCTTATGCAAGTTTTATTTATTAATATACCTAATAACTTTGAAGATTAATTGTTTTTAGATGGAATGGAATCAAAAACGGTTGGCTCGAATCGAATCACAATTTTCCCCAGTATCATGTGATTTACTCTTAAAATTATTCCCTTTTGGAATAATGATTGACCCCAATTTAAACATTGCAGCAGTGGGGCAAAAATTAATTGATGTTTCCACCGGAAATAAATCAATGTTGGGTAATCAAGTTTCAAAACATTTTCGATTTAGGAGACCAAAAGGAATTGATTTTTCGTGGACAAATGTATTTTTTTTAATAATTTTTTTATATAAACATTAATTCATATTTCTTTAGGCGCTACAACTTCAATCTGTAATGTTTGAATTAGAATTTTTAAGAGCGAGTACCGTGGTTATTGAGGATACTTTAAAGCCGGCTGAAGAAACGGTTGTTTTAAAAAAAGATCGCCCAATTTCACCGTATCAACTGAGAAAAGATAGCAATTTGGGGTTGAAAAACATCTTGTTACGGGGACAAATGAGATATATTCAAGAGATTAATTTGATTATCTTCTTGTGTAGCCCGCTGTAAGAAATTTTATCTTTTATTTTGATAATAATTTAATCTAATCTAAACATATATAATGCATTAATTATGTTAATGGTGTGTTTGTGCTACATAATGTGTGCTAAGTTAATTAAAAAATGGATAAAAATTGATGATTTATAGGAATTGAGACTCTTCAAGGTCGTGTATGAATTTAAATGCTTTTGATTATAAAAATCTTGAGATAAAGAATAAAAAGTGAAGTAACAATTTTTAACTTAACCTAAAACGAATACAAGTTCAAGATTTTCAAAAAAACATCTTCCTTATTTTTAGGAGTTATAAAACGATTTATACTTCAAACTGAAGCTGAAACCTTCCTCTTCAAGACCGTGTATAAACTTAATTGTTTTTGGTTATAAAAATTTTGAGATAAAAGTTAAAAAGTGAAGTAACAATTTTTAACTTAATCTAAATCGAATAAAAATTCTAGATTTTCAAAAAATCGTATTATCCTTATCTTTTGGAGTTATGAAACGATTCATACTTCAAATTGAAGCTGAAGCCTTGCTCTTCAAGATCGTATACCAACTTAATTGCTTATGGTTATAAAAATTTTGAGATAAAAGTTGAAAAGTGAAGTAACAATTTTTAACTTATCCTAAAACGAATAAAAATTCAAGATTTTCAAAAAATCATATTATCCTTATTTTTAGGAGTTATGAAACGATTTATACATCAAATTGAAGCTAAAACCTTTCTCTTCAAGACCGTATATAAGCTTAAATACTTTTGATTATAAAAATCTTGAAATAAGAATTAAAAAGTGAAGTAACAATTTTTAACTTATCCTAAAACGAATAAAAATTCAAGATTTTCAAAAAATCGTATTGTCCTTATTTTTAGGAGTTATGAAACGATTTATACTTCAAATTGAAGCTGAAACCTTCCTCTTCATGACCGTGTATAAACCTTAATACTTTTCATTATAAAAATCTTGAGATAATAGTTAAAAAGTGAAGTCACAATTTTTAACTTATCCTAAAACGATAAAGAATTCAAGATTTTTAAAAAATTGTATTGTCTTTATTTTTTGGAATTATGAAACGATTTATACTTCAAATTGAAGCCGAAACCTTCCTCTTCATGACCGTGTATAAACTTTAATACTTTTCATTATAAAAATCCTGAGATAGTAGTTAAAAAGTGAAGTCACAATTTTTAACTTATCCTAAAACGATAAAAAATTCAAAATTTTCAAAAAATCGTATTGTCCCTATTTTTACTAGTTATGAAATAATTTATACTTTAAATTGACGCTGAAACCTTTTTCTTCAAGGCCATATGTAAATTTAATTGTTTTTGATTGTAAAAATCTAGAGATAAAAATTAAAAAATGAAGTAACAATTTTTAACTTAACCTAAAATGAATAAAAATTCAAGAATTTCATAAAATCGTATTGATCATAATTTTAGGAGTTAGGAAACGATTTATATTTCAAATTGAAGCTGAAACCTTCCTCTTTAAGATCGTGGTCCAACTTATTTGTTTTTAACTATAAAAATCTTGAGATAAAAATTAAAAAGTGAAGTAACAATTTTTAACTTAACCTAAGATGTATAAAAATTCAAGATTTTCAAAAAAACGTATTTTCCTTATTTTTAGGAGTTATGAAACGATTTATACTTCATATTGAAGCCGAAACCTTCCTCTTTATGACCGTGTATAAACTATAATACTTTTCATTATAAAAATCTTGAGATAAAAGTTAAAAGGTGAAGTCACAATTTTTAACTTATACTAAATCGAATAAAAATTCAGCATTTTCAATAAATCATATTGTCCTTACTTTTAGGTGATATCAAACGATTTATACAACAAATTGAAGCTGAAACCTTCCTCTTCAAGACCGTATATAATTTTAAATACTTTTGATTATAAAAATCTTGAGATAAAAATTAAAAAGTGAAATAACAATTTTTAACTTAACCTAATATGAATAAAAATTCAAGATTTTCAAAAAATTGTATTGTCCTTATTTTCAGGAATTATGAAACGATTTATGCTTGAAATTGAAGCTGAAAGCTTCCTCATCAAGACCGTCTATAAACTTAATTGCTTTTGGTTATAAAAATCTTGAGATAAAACTTAAAAAGTAAAATAAGAATTTATAACTTAACCTAAAACAAATGCAAATTCAAAAATTTTTAAAAATCGTGTTGTCCTTATTTTTAGGAGTTATGAAACGATTTATACTTCAAATTGAAGCTGAAACTTTCCTCTTCATGACCGTATATAAATTTAATTTTGAATATAGAAATAAAACGCAAATGTGACCTTTACACTTGCATAAGATTTAATTTATATCAGTACCATAGGTTTCGAAGTTTTCACTTCATCATCAGCTGAAAACTATACAGAGGGCGTAACAATTATTAAATTATGTAATAGATATAAAAAATATGTAAAAATATGAAAATATAGAAAATATAAAAAAAACAAAAAACATATAAAAATACAAAAAAAAATATAACGAAATACTCTCTGTCAGAAAGTGAAGCCTACAGATTGCAACATTAAAGAAGGTTTGAAATGTTGAAAATTTAAATTTTGAAATAAATTCTGAATATAAAATTCAGAATTTTTTTCACAACTTCTTTGAACAACTTCAACTTTTCCGTAAACCTATCTTTTCATATTTGAATAATTTCAACTGAAAAATTTAATTTTTTGCGTGTTTTTCCGGTTTTATTATGTTCAATATTTTTTTGGTCTGGTTTCCAGTCTCTTCTTCTCGTTCCGCTGAGATGGTCACCTTTAATCGTTAATAGGTCATTTGCTGTAATTTTCAAATTTTCATATGTAACCATCAGATAGTAAGTTTATTCTATATTTGATTGATTGTTTTCTAACTTGTTTTTACATTAATTTTTAGATCCCTTTGTAATATTGTCATAACGCACCACGTTTTTATTACTTCGTCCATTTTAAATTTTAATAACGACGCAATTTTATATTCAGAATTTCTTTCAAAATTTAAATGTTCAACCTTCCTTCTTAAATTCTTTAATATTACAATCTGTAGGCTTCACTTTCTGACTGATTTCGTTATATTTTCTATATTTGTTTATATTTTTTTTATATTTTAATATATTTTTTGTTTTTTTTTAATAGTTACGCTCTCTGTATAGTTTTCAGCTGATGATGGAGTGAAAACTTCGAAACCGGTACTGATATAAATTAAATCTTATGCAAGTGTAAAGGTCACATCTGTGTTATATTTCTATATTCAAAATTTCATTTAATTGCAACACATAATAAATTTAATTGTTTTTGATTATAAAAATCTTGAGATAAAAGTTAAAAAATAAGTAACAATATATAAAGTAGCAATTTTTAACTTAACCTAAAATGAATAAAAATTCTATATTTGCAAAAAATCGTATTATCTTTATTTTTAGGTGTAATGAAATGACTTATACTTCAAATTGAAGCTGAAACCTTCCTCTTCTAGACCGTATATAAACTTAATAGTTTTTGGTTATGAAAATCTTGAGATAAAAGTTAAAATGTGCGGTAATAATTTATAACTTAACCTAAAACGAATAAAAATTCACGATGTTCAAAAAATCGTATCGTCCTTTATTTTTAGGAGTTATAGAACGATTTATATTTCAAATTGAAGCTGAAATCTTTCTCTTCAAGGCCGTGGTCAAACTTAATTGCTTTTAATTATAAAAATGTTGAGATAAAAATTAATAAGTGAAGTAACAATTTTTAACTAAACCTAAAAGGAATGAAAATTCAGGATTTTCAAAAAATCGTCTTGACCTTATTTTTAGGAATTATGAAACGATTTATACATTAAAATGAAGCCGAAGCCTTCCTTTATAAGACTGTGTATAAACTTAAATACTTTTGATTATAAAAATCTTGAGATAAAAGTTAAAAGGTGAAGTCACAATTTTTAAATTATTCTAATACGAATAAAAATTCAGGATTTTCAAAAAATCGTATTCTCGTTATTTTTAGGAGTTATGAAACGATTTATACTTCAAATTGAAGCTAAAACCTTCCTCTTCAAGACCGTATATAAACTTAATTATTTTTGATTATAGAAATCTTGAGATAAAAGTTAAAAAGTGTAATAACAATTTATAACTTATCCTAAAACGAATAAAAATTCTAGATTTTCACAAAATCGTTTTCACCTTATTTTTAAGAGTTATGAAACGATTTATACATTAAAATGAAGCTACAACCTTCCTACATAAGCTTAAATGTATTGGATTATATCAACTTTGAGTTAAAAATAAAATTAACCTCGTATACTATAATATCGTATAATTTAAGTTTTTTAATTTTTTTTTGTCCAGTATATGCGATATGGAAGAACTTCCCGAACTCGGTTTATACTTAACCGACTTAAACCCACACGGAATGAGCCGAGAAATGGTTATGGCAGGATGGCAACACAACTCCAAATTAGAATTAATGTTCGATAAAGCGGAACAACGCGCTTTAGAACTCGAAGCAAACTACGAACTTTTAGACGAATGGAAATGTAAAGGGGACGAACTTTTATACTCCATGATCCCGAAAACCGTCGCCGATCGTCTTCGACACGGCGCCTCATCTTTAAGCACTTGCGAATCCTTCGATGCCGTCACAATTATGTTTTGCGAACTTGTCGGATTTAGTTCCGAAACGGTTCAAGATGCGATGGATGTCGTTTCATCGATGAACGCGGTGTTTTCATGTTTTGACGCTTTGATGGATAAATTTCATGTGTATAAAGTCGAAACGGTTGGGCAAATTTATATGGCGGTCTCTGGGGCTCCAGAAAAAACCAAAGAACACGCTAAGAACGTTTGCGATTTTTCCTTGAGTTTGATTAAGAACGTTAAAGAATTGTTGATGCCAAGCGGGGGTGGTGTCGAGGTTAAAATTGGTAAAACAATTAAAATTAAGATTAATTTAAGTTGAAACAAATGTTTTAGGGATTCATTCAGGACCAAGCGTTGCCGGAGTTGTTGGTATAAAAGTACCTAGATATTGCTTTTTTGGTGATACGGTTAATACAGCTTCAAGAATGCAATCTTCGAGTGTTGTAATTTAAATTTTTATTTTTTTAAAAGGATTAATTCAAATAAATCTTGTTACGTTTTAGCCTGGGATGGTTCACATTTCTCTTGGAACGAAAATATTACTCCCAGAGGACGACTACGTGATTCAAAGTCGAGGGCTAATCATGTTAAAGGTAAATCAACTCCATTTTTATCCCCTTTAAAAGCTTTTTTTAATTTTTTATGAAATTAATAACTTTATTACGTTTATTTTTTTATAGGGAAAAGGAGACGTGGAAACTTTTTTTATCTTCGAAAAGGAAGAAAAAAATTAAATCGTTTTCAAAATAATTTTATAATTATTCATGAATACAAAAATAATAAGATGTATTTTGCACCATTAGATTTTATAAGATAGTACAAACCACACAAACGCATTTTCCGTCTTTTTTATCATCATCTGGGCTGGCGTTAATCCCCAAATGTTGAATCGAAGTTGTTGATTCAGTGTAAGGAGGTGGAGATGATCTTCTGTTGGATCTCGATGATTTCTCGTCCATTTTTAACCAATTTTGTTTAAAAATTTTAAATTAATTAACAATTTAAAACTTATTTTCTTGTAAACGTGACGAAATGAACTGATTTCGAGATTTTATTTTAGTTTTTATTCTGTGTGGGTATCTTATCTTAACGTTTTTGGCGTTTTTATCGTTGATTATTTAGATATTTGTAACGAATTTAGATAATTTAAGATGACTAAGATGAATAAAAAGTAAACAAGATGATTCATTTTTTTTATAACAAAAATCTTTTATAATTATAATTTTTTTAGATTGGGAAAATTAGAATATATACCGAGACGCCCAGTATTGGTTCAAAAGAGCTAACCTGCCAGACTTATACAATGCAGTTTTGAGTATTGACTGGAATTATCTGCTGTCTTTGTCATCAGTTAAAGTATCCTGTGATGTTTCCTATACAACATGTGTTGGACACGTATGTGGTAAAAACCATCGGAAAACATGTGAAGTCTAAATATCCTCTATGGTACTCGTCTAATCTAAAGCGAATGCTTAAGTTAAAGAAATACTACCATAAATTGTCTACACGAAACAATTCGTTTCCGCCGGGACTTTAAAACACATGTGCGAAAAGATCTGCGGGAATATGTAAGGTCCTTGTAACCATCCAAAGAGTTTTTGGAGATTTGTTAATGTGACCAGAAACAGTGGCGTCTCACCAAATATTTTCAAACGCGATGGTGAAATTTTTTCTGATCTACCGACTGTAGTTGATATGTACTCAGATCATTTTGAAAGTATGCATCTTCCGGCTCCAGATGTTAATGTTATTAGTGCCCATGCACTGTGGCCCAAACTGAAATAAAACTGTGCCAAAAATCATTGCAATAATAGTTTTTCATACTGAAATCAATTAATAACTGTGGATCAAATACACATTTTCAACTTTACTACGTTTTCCGAAAAAAATATACAGGTGATCTAATAAAACTTAAAAAAATATAAAAATTAAAATTTGATCAAAAAACAAACACAATTTTAAACAAAATAATTAGGTACTAATATGAATTAAACACAAATATATTACTTTGCAGTCCACTAGGTTCTTCATTTTCCGAATTTTCTTTTACGTTTATACAGGTGTCTCATGTACCTGGTTCGTTAGAACATTTTTGGTTTTACTATTCGTACAGTTTTGAAATTTTGGTAGCATAGGTTGTTCGTTCGGATAATTGTACGTAAAAAAAAATATTGACTTTTATAAAAGTTATTGGTACGTAGCATTTTTCGTTTTCGAGTTATTTTGATTTTAAGTTTTTTTTTGGCAAATTTCACTATGCTCTTTAAAACCCCATATCCTATTCAACGTTCATTCAAAAAAGCTCTAAATTGGCACTCTTCACATGTTGTCAAATAGATTGTCATTTGTTCTACAGGTGTCCCGCAACGATTGTACAAAACTGCATCAGCGTATTCTATGATCAAAAATGAACAAAAAAAGCCTAATAAACATAGGTCCGAAAATGGACCATTTTCGAGATATTCAAAGATTTTGTTTCATAAGTTGATATTGTTAACATCATGAATTTAAATTTGAAGGGTACAGGGAATAAATGAGCTAAGTCAAAATACAAAATAATCCAGGAAATCGTGTTAAAAGTTTCAGACTGTATAAGTTCGCCTGTAAAAGTAATTTTAATGTTGGTGAGCATCATTAAAGGAAATGTAGCTCTTGATACTACGGTAAAATATAACGGCAAATTTGGTTGCGGTTGCATAACGTTGACTATTTCATTCATATCGTTAACAGCCAATAAGAATTCGCGGTTTTTCGTCAATTGCGAATATTTCAGCGGTTATTTGGCCGTAACCATGGAGAACGATAATACGAACCTTTGTATTATCGCTGTAATACGAACCTTTGTATTATCGCTTGTTCGACATTTAATTAATTTCGAGACATCCATGCATGTTTCCATAACAATCAATGTAATTTATTAAAAAAATATTAAAATTCTAAAAATATGTATATTTTTTATTCATGAAATAGTCTAGCCATATACAACACGACAATCGAAAATACTCGAATCTCGACGTATTGCCTTAAAAAACACCACTCGACCTTCGGTCTCGTGGTGTTTCAGGCAATACGTCTCGTATTATCGAGTATTTTCGATCGTCTTGTTGTATAATATATGA